TGTTTTATGATGGTAAAGTCCAAAGACTAATGTATTTAAGAATAATTCCCACCATAATAGGTGGTGAATTATAATAGTATGTGGTGATGATATCCCGTTTTCTTTAGACGGTAATTCCACTACAAGTTACGTTTTCTATGGGTAACTTGTTTATACAATACAGCTATTATCTGTATGATATATTAAATGGTGTCGGATTTTCCGACAGCTTCTCCCTCCATATAGACCTGCTGCACGGGTAACAGCTTCTCCCTCCATATTGACCTGCTGCACGGGTAACAGCTTCTCCTCCATATTGACCTGCTGCATGGGTAACAGCTTATCCCTCCATATTGACCTGCTGCATGGGTAACAGCTTATCCCTCCATATCAACCTGCTGCATGGGTAACAGCTTCTCCCTCCATATTGACCTGCTGCATGGGTAACAGCTTCTCCTCCATATTGACCTGCTGCATGGGTAACAGCTTATCCCTCCATATTGACCTGCTGCATGGGTAACAACTTCTCCCTCCATATTGACCTGCTGCATGGGTAACAGCTTATCCCTCCATATCAACCTGCTGCATGGGTAACAGCTTCTCCCTCCATATTGACCTGCTGCATGGGTAACAGCTTCTCCATATTGACCTGCTGCATGGGTAACAGCTTATCCCTCCATATCAACCTGCTGCATGGGTAACAGCTTCTCCCTCCATATCAACCTGCTGCATGGGTAACAGCTTCTCCCTCCATATTGACCTGCTGCATGGGTAACAGCTTCTCCCTCCATATCAACCTGCTGCATGGGTAACAGCTTCTCCCTCCATATCAACCTGCTGCATGGGTAACAGCTTCTCCCTCCATATTGACCTGCTGCATGGGTAACAGCTTCTCCCTCCATATTGACCTGCTGCATTGGTAACAGCTTCTCTTCCATATTGACCTGCTGCATGGGTAACAGCTTCTCCCTCCATATTGACCTGCTGCATGGGTAACAGCTTCTCCTCCATATTGACCTGCTGCATGGGTAACAGCTTCTCCTCCATATTGACCTGCTGCATGGCTAACAGCTTCTCCCTCCATATTGACCTGCTGCATGGGTAACAGCTTCTCCTCTCTCTCTCTCTCTCTCTCTCTCTCTCTCTCTCTCTCTCTTTCTCATATTAACATAAATGTTCCACAATAACAATACTGTTATTTGCAGAACAATACCAGCTTAAGAACGAACAGCCTCTCGGCAGAACCAGAGTCACCAGGGCAGGGCGTGGTACATAATATCTGATCTTAGAAAGAATGCCAACAGTTTTTGAAACTTTTTTTGATATGTTTAGAATGTGTCCCTGGAAATTCAGCTTGTGGTCAATGAGAATGCCAAGGAATTTGCCATCTAATTTGTTACAAATTTGGGTATTGTTTATTTTGAGATTTATTTGATTAGAGGATTTATTGCCAAACAGAATATAGAAGGTTTTGTCAATGTTAAGGGTGAGTTTGTTGGCAGTTAGCCACAGATGGACTTTATTTAGCTCAGTATTTACTGTGGCATTTAGAGCAAGGGGATCAGGACTGGAGTAAATGAAGGTTGTGTCGTCAGCAAATAGAATTGGTTTGAGGTGTTGGGAGGCATTTGGAAGGTCATTAATGTAGATGAGAAAGAGGAGAGGGCCAAGTATGCTGCCCTGGGGAACACCAATGTTGATGGGTAGGGTGGGAGAAATTGTATTATTCACAGAAACATATTGGAGCCTGTCAGTAAGGTAGGATTTGAGGTATTGTAGGGAGTGTCCTCTGACTCCATAATGATGTAATTTAAGAAGAAGGTTTTGGTGGTTGACAGTATCAAAAGCTTTACGCAGGTCCACAAACAACCCAACAGGGAACTCATTTTTATCAAGAGCTGTATGAATCGAGTTAAGCATACTAATAAGTGCATCGTTAGTGCTTTTTTTTGGTCTGAAGCCATATTGGCAAGAGCTAAGTATATTGAGTTTGGCTAGATATGAGTAAAGCTGCTTATAGATTAGAATTTCAAAAATTTTTGACAAGTTTGGCAGGATAGATATAGGTCTGTAGTTGTTAACATCTGTGAGATTATCACATTTGTGGACAGGCGTTACTCTCGCTTTTTTTAGAATATCTGGGAAGGTTTGGAGTTCAAGTGACTTGTTGAAGAGCAAAGCAATAGCAGGGGCTAAAGATCTGGAGGCTTTTTTGTAAATTAAAGTTGGTATCTCCTCAAGGGCACCAGACTTGGTTTTAAGGGAAAGGATTATCTCATTGACGTCAGTGGAATTAATAGGCTTTAGGTACAGAGACTGTGGATAGTTACCTGAAAGATAGTCATTAATGTCAGTACTGGAAGATGGAATATCATTTGCAAGGGATGAACCAATGGAAGAGAAGAACCTATTGAACTCAATAGCAGAATCAGAGGATGAAAGCTGACCATCGTTATTAGACAGGAGAGTCGGTTTGTTATTTAAAGACTTCTTTGATCCCAATATTTGAGAAATGGTGCTCCAAGTTTGTTTAATGTTGCTCTTTATTTGGGTAAATTTATCTTCGTAGTATTTAGTTTTGGCTCGTCTAATTATCTTAGACAGCAATAATGAGTAATTCTTTGAGAATTCTTTGGAGACAATTCCTAACCTATACTTCTTCTCAAGGTCATGTTTTTTATTAATAGATTTAAGTATTCCCTTTGTAAGCCAGGGATTGTTAAGCCTTTTGGTTGTGACTTGTTTTGTAAGCATAGGACAGTGGGTATTATAAAGGCTTAGAGTTTTTTGAAGAAAAGATTGCACTGCTAGGTTGATGTCCACTATGTTACCTAACTCGGACTCCCAGTTGACATTATCAGCAGCAGTTATAAAATTGTCTATAGCAGTTTCATTGTGTAGTCTAAAACGTATCACTCTTGACTCAAGAGGTGGTTTTCTAATGTTAGTTAAGAGAAATGTGGGGTAATGATCAAAGTAAAACTTTGTATATGTGGGCCTGCGGGCCGCTCCAAGCAACAGCCTGGTGGACCAAACTCTCACAAGTCAAGCCTGGCCTCGGGCCGGGCTTGGGCAGTAGAACAACTCCCAGAACCCCATCAGTCAGGTCAAAGTTCATATGAATCTTGAAAAAAATTGATCAATTGAGTACCACAAAATAAACTTATTTTATTTAATAAACTAAATTTTATTTAAACTTTATTAAATTTAATTTATTTATTAAAACTTTATTTAATAAACTAAAAAATAAACTACTTATTTATATCATACACATACGCAACGTCAGAACAGTATTGCCATAATAAAAAAAAATGTAGTGTACAATAGATAGACATCTGGACCCAGATTCACGAAGCAGTTACGCAAGCACTTACGAACGTGTACATCTTTCCTCAATCTTTGACGGCTTTGGTTACATTTATTAAACAGTTTACAATCATGAAAACTTGCCAATCAACTGTTGTTATTGTTATAAACAGCCTCCTGGTGCTTCGGAGCTCATTAACTGTTTAATAATTGTAAACAAAGCCGTCAAAGATTGAGAAAAGATGCACAGGTTCGTAAGTGCTTGCGTAACTGCTTCGTGAATCTGGCCCCTGAAAATAAACAAAGATTTATTAAAATAATTTGTATATATATACAGTAAGACTTTGTACTCTTATACAATACGGCAGAATAATTCAGAATAAAGAATATTAACTGACAAGCCAATGACGATGTTCAGAACCCATAAAATTCTATAATTATTTGTTAATCCTAAAATATAAGAAACTGAATCTATACTATACAAATAACACAATTTTAATTAGTATTATATAGGCCTACACAAAGGTCCATCATAAATATAAAAAGAATTCGTAATACTTTAAATAATGCAAGTAATAAGCAAGTGATTTTGAAATTAAATGAAATTTTGAAATATATCATGTGTATAATTTTTATATTTTCAAAGGTTTTAAAATACTGTATCTTTCCTCTACAATAAGGGTGGGAACTCTTATATTCTGCCCAACCCGTTCTCGCAAATTTAATAAGTCAATATTGACTTATTAGTTGCGTGCATAGGTGACATACTAAACATAATAGTTTCCCTTGAAAAGCTTCATAGAAAACACCGACCTTACCTAACCTACTTAGTATGTTAAAATAAGCATCTTATAGCTTCGTAATTACAATTGATACTTAACCTATTATAGGTATAGGTTAGGTAATAATTGTAATTACGAAGCAATAAGATGCTTATCTTAACATACTAAGTAGGTTAGGTAAGGTCGGTGTTTTCTATGAAGATTTTCAAGGGAAACTATTATGTTAAGTATGTCACCTATGCACATATTTAATAAGTCAATATTGACTTATTAAATTTGCAAGAACGGGTTGATTCTGCCAAGGGCCATTTGGGTATTTACAGCGTCATTCACGGGCCATACAAAATTATCCCTAAAATAATTTGCTTGCTCTATTTGGTCAAAATTTAATTAACTCGCCCCTAACGTGATGGCTGGAACTGCTATTGTGAGGCATGCCATGTTAGCTGGTATTAATGATAATGCTATCTTGAGGTTATCTTGAGATGATTTCGGGTCCTCGACCAGGCCTCCACTCCCCAGGAAGCAGCCCGTGACAGCTGACTAACACCCAGGTACCTATTTTACTGCTAGGTAACAGGGGCATTGGGTGAATGAAACTCTGCCCATTGTTTCTCGCCGGCGCCTGGGATCGAACCCAGGACCACAGGATCACAAGTCCAGCGTGCTGTCCGCTCGGCCGACCGGCTCCTCTCAGTACAACCCGTTCTCGCAAATTTAATAAGTCAATATTGACTTATTGATAAATAATACACAGGGAGCCAGTCGGCCGAGCGGACAGCACACTGGACTTGTGATCCTGTGGTCCCGGGTTCGATCCCAGGCGTCAGCGAGAAACAATGGGCAGAGTTTCTTTCACCCCTATGCCCCCCTGTTACCTAGCAGTAAAATAGGTACCTGGGTGTTAGTCAGCTGTCACGGGCTGCTTCCTGGGGGGAGGAGACCTGGTCGAGGACCGGGCCGCGGGGACACAAAAGTCCCGAAATCATCTCAAGATAACCTAACCATCTCAAGATAACCACATAAAAATAAATACTGTATTATGAAAACTTATTATCCAAGAATATGACAGAAAATGACAAATATGAAAACTTCTGAACAGAAAACTAGAATAATTCAACCAGTATTATAAAATGATCATTTATACTCCAAACATTAAGTACATTTTCTGGTCGGCCAACTTTAGTAAACTCGGACTATACACTGTCATCTTTCAACCTAGTCAAGAGTGTTTCTGCTAATGTACGTTCCAGCTCTTTAAAGAGTTTATCGTGGGTAAACCACATTCCAATTGCACATCTGCTTCCGTCAAGAACTGGCAAAACTCCATGCGGATTTTCTGGACCCGAAGAAAAGCCTACCATCCTGCCACATCTTGGACGCACAATGGCCTGAAGGAAATCAAATCAAATAAGATATTACTACATAAAAAATAAATCTGGTATTAAGAGAATTGAAATATTCTTTTCTGACTGACAAATTAATTACACCAAAGGACACACACCCAAGATACTTCTTGAGGTTATCTTGAGATGATATCGGGACTTAACGTTGAAATACTGTACTGCTAGACTTTACGCAACGCTTAGCCCCACCATGACAAAGCCAGGGGCTTGGATACACCCCAGGATACTGCTAGGCAACTTGTAGCCCACTATGACAAAGCCAGGGGCTTGGATACACCCCAGGATACTGCTAGACTCTCAACAACTTGTAGCCCACCATGACAAAGCCAGGGGCTTGGATACACCCAGGATACTGCTAGGCAACTTGTAGCCCACCATGACAAAGCCAGGGGCTTGGATACACCCCAGGATACTGCTAGGCAACTTGTAGCCCACCATGACAAAGCCAGGGGCTTGGATACACCCAGGATACTGCTAGACTCTCAACAACTTGTAGCCCACCATGACAAAGCCAGGGGCTTGGATACACCCCAGGATACTGCTAGGCAACTTGTAGCCCACTATGACAAAGCCAGGGGCTTGGATACACCCCAGGATACTGCTAGACTCTCAACAACTTGTAGCCCACCATGACAAAGCCAGGGGCTTGGATACACCCAGGATACTGCTAGGCAACTTGTAGCCCACCATGACAAAGCCAGGGGCTTGGATACACCCCAGGATACTGCTAGGCAACTTGTAGCCCACCATGACAAAGCCAGGGGCTTGGATACACCCCAGAATACTGCTAGACTCTTGACAACTTGTAGCCCGCCATGACAAAGCCAGGGGCTTGGATACACCCCAGAATACTGCTAGACTCTTGACAACTTGTAGCCCGCCATGACAAAGCCAGGGGCTTGGATACACCCCAGAATACTGCTAGACTCTTGACAACTTGTAGCCCACCATGACGGAAATTTTCAAATGCTCCTGCTATATATACTTGGAGTGGTGAAGAGTCTGTATCTGCCTTTGTCACCAGAGAGCAGACCCACACCCCTTCACCAGAGAGCAGACCCACACCCCTTCACCAGAGAGCAGACCCACACCCCTTCACCAGAGAGCAGACCCACACCCCTTCACCAGAGAGCAGACCCACACCCCTTCACCAGAGAGCAGACCCACACCCCTTCACCAGAGAGCAGACCCACACCCCTTCACCAGAGAGCAGACCCACACCCCTTCACCAGAGAGCAGACCCACACCCCTTCACCAGAGAGCAGACCCACACCCCTTCACCAGAGAGCAGACCCACACCCCTTCACCAGAGAGCAGACCCACACCCCTTCACCAGAGAGCAGACCCACACCCCTTCACCAGAGAGCAGACCCACACCCCTTCCGTGTAATAGAACCACAAAGAAAGGGAATTACAGTACTGCTATTCTAACTATAGGGCTGAGTGAGCTGGCAGCCCTCATTATAGGGCTGAGTGAGCTGGCAGCCCTCATTATAGGGCTGAGTGAGCTGGCAGCCCTCATTATATGGCTGAGTGAGCTGGCAGCCCTCATTATATGGCTGAGTGAGCTGGCAGCCCTCATTATAGGGCTGAGTGAGCTGGCAGCCCTCATTATAGGGCTGAGTGAGCTGGCAGCCCTCATTATAGGGCTGAGTGAGCTGGCAGCCCTCATTATAGGGCTGAGTGAGCTGGCAGCCCTCATTATAGGGCTGAGTGAGCTGGCAGCCCTCATTATAGGGCTGAGTGAGCTGGCAGCCCTCATTATAGGGCTGAGTGAGCTGGCAGCCCTCATTATAGGGCTGAGTGAGCTGGCAGCCCTCATTATAGGGCTGAGTGAGCTGGCAGCCCTCATTATAGGGCTGAGTGAGCTGGCAGCCCTCATTTAGAGACCCACGACACCCAACTACACGTAGAAAAGCTACGACCTAAAGGATCAATTAGAAGCAACTGAAGGATCAATTAGAAGCAACTGAAGGATCAATCAGAAGCAACTGAAGGATCAATCAGAAGCAACTGAAGGATCAATTAGAAGCAACTGAAGGATCAATTAGAAGCAACTGAAGGATCAATTAGAAGCAACTGAAGGATCAATTAGAAGCAACTGAAGGATCAATCAGAAGCAACTGAAGGATCAATTAGAAGCAACTGAAGGATCAATTAGAAGCAACTGAAGGATCAATTAGAAGCAACTGAAGGATCAATTAGAAGCAACTGAAGGATCAATTAGAAGCAACTGAAGGATCAATTAGAAGCAACTGAAGGATCAATTAGAAGCAACTGAAGGATCAAATAGAAGCAACTGAAGGATCAATCAGAAAGAAGCATTTCAATCCTCTCTCTCTGCCCAGTGTGTAAACAAGGTTTTTCCTTGGTTGCTCACTGAGCTCCCCTTCCCATGGAAACCACCATCTGAATATAAAGACTATAAAGGAAAGCAGAATAGAAAGGAGGTCCACCAAGGACCTGACAATCCTGACCTGACCTGACCTGAGGAGAATACCCTCAGCCTATGGTTCCAACAGAGAGAGCAGATTCATACACTTACCTGATAGAGAACAGGTAGAATCTTTAAGAAACATTAAACAAAAGTCAAGGGCCCGTGGTGTAGTGGCAAAATACCCACTCTGCGCTTTGCAAGCGCTTAGGCCTGGGTTCGTATCCTGGCCCAGGGAGGATTGACCGGGTGCCAATCCTTAACTTTTGCCTCTGTTCACCCAGCAGTGAATGGTTACCTGGTTGTTAAAAGATTTGGCGAGTCGTATCCGGGGAAAATTAGGATTAAGGACTTGCCCAAAATGCTACGCGTGCTGGTGGCTGTACAAGAATGTAACAACTCTTGAATATAAAAATAAAAGGTCTGCCAAACATCCCACAAAGACACCAAGAGAGCAGGAATAGAAAAGATACTGCAAGACATAATTTAGTCCACAAGAAAAGAGAATCCACCAAGAAGGAGGGACATGACTGCCAAAAGCAGTACAGCAGTCAAGAAGGGATGCCTGTGGGGCCCACAACACCAACCCCATCCAAGGTGAAAAGGGTACCCAGGTGACAGACCTACAGGCCATAGATACCTATGCAAAATGAAATATAAAGTCCAGATCAACAAAGATGAAGTTGCACAAATGCAACAAACAAATGCACACCCAGTATGAAAGTAGGACAAATCACAGGAAGGAAAGATCAGTATAATCCCAGGAAAAGCAGGAATTGACAAATCTAGAAAGAATGCAATACCGACTCCCCGAAGAAGAGGAGGACATAAGTCTTGCAACCTTGCTCCTGACCGGGAGCCGGTCGGCCGAGCGGACAGCACGCTGGACTTGTGATCCTGTGTCCTGGGTTCGATTCCAGGCGCCGGCGAGAAACAATGGGCAGAGTTTCTTTCACCCTATGCCCCTGTTACCTAGCAGTAAAATAGGTACCTGGGTGTTAGTCAGCTGTCACGGGCTGCTTCCTGGGGGTGGAGGCCTGGTCGAGGACCGGGCCGCGGGAACACTAAAGCCCCGAAATCATCTCAAGATAACCTCAAGATAACGGACACAATTGAGTAGAAAACTTGGCTGGCTAAGTCTAAAAAGGCTAAATGTAGGTCCAACAAAAATTTAAACACAGAGACCCTCCCTCCCAAAGGCAAAACAAAACCTCCCGAAACACTGCAATGAAGCAAATGATGGAGAACACGTTGGCTTGAGATTGAGTGAAAGAAGCAAGTGAAACCACCTAGCAAAGCAGCACAGGGAAAACCCTCAAATGGCAAGAATCAAATGACCCAAAAATGGACAACTTTCTGACAGGCTCCTCAATGGTTCCCTGGAAGCTAGCTGCCTGGGTAGGTGTACACACATATATCATATCCCATCAGACCGATTGAACGCCGACCTGCATGAAGTGAGACCGTCGCTCTACCGTCCAGCCCAAGTGGTAGAGGCACAGGCAGTTTGGGTATTTGATGTAAACCCAGACCAAGTGAAAATACCGCTAGAAAGGTGGTATTACCAAGTACTGGGTTCCATTCTGCTTGGAATGAAATTGGTGGGACGTCTTATACCTCCTGACCCAGCTTCACCCTTCAGTAATGGCCAGAATGGAAACCTTTGTTGGCTGTGTCATCTGAGTCATTCCTCAGTAGCTAGTTCAGCCATGGATCCCAGCTCCTCTTGCTCATTGGCCCCTTCGTTGTAAGTCCATCGACTGATCGTTTGGGAGGGGCTCTGCCTCACTAGAATGAACGGGGGGATGGACTTGTTTACCTGCAGAATTCAAGGCTATCCATTGATCTTTGCAACTGCAGTTTAATCCCAGCTGACTGGACCATCGTCTTCAAGAAGACTAGGTGGCGAGTTCATGTCACATTTGTATTCATGGTCAACGACCGGGCCGCAGGGACACTAAGCCCCGAAATCCCCTCAAGGTAACCATCTTCTCGGCACCAGTATGAGGGTGCCTTACCTTGAGGTTACCTTGAGGTGCTTCCGGGGCTTAGCGTCCCCGCGGCCCGGTCGTCGACCAGGCCTCCTGGTTGCCGGACTGATCAACCAGGCTGTTGGACGCGGCTGCTCGCAGCCTGACGTACGAGTCACAGCCTGGTTGATCAGGTATCCTTTGGAGGTGCTTATCCAGTTCTCTCTTGAACACTGTGAGGGGGCCGCCAGTTATGCCCCTTATGTGTAGTGGAAGCGTGTTGAACAGTCTCGGGCCTCTGATGTTGATAGTTCTCTCTTGAACACTGTGAGGGGTCGGCCAGTTATGCCCCTTATGTGTAGTAGAAGCGTGTTGAACAGTCTCGGGCCTCTGATGTTGATAGTTCTCTCTTGAACACTGTGAGGGGTCGGCCAGTTATGTCCCTTATGTGTAGTGGAAGCGTGTTGAACAGTCTCGGGCCTCTGATGTTGATAGTTCTCTCTTGAACACTGTGAGGGGTCGGCCAGTTATGCCCCTTATGTGTAGTGGAAGCGTGTTGAACAGTCTCGGGCCTCTGATGTTGATAGTTCTCTCTTGAACACTGTGAGGGGTCGGCCAGTTATGCCCCTTATGTGTAGTGGAAGCGTGTTGAACAGTCTCGGGCCTCTGATGTTGATAGTTCTCTCTTGAACACTGTGAGGGGTCGGCCAGTTATGCCCCTTATGTGTAGTGGAAGCGTGTTGAACAGTCTCGGGCCTCTGATGTTGATAGTTCTCTCTTGAACACTGTGAGGGGTCGGCCAGTTATGCCCCTTATGTGTAGTGGAAGCGTGTTGAACAGTCTCGGGCCTCTGATGTTGATAGTTCTCTCTTGAACACTGTGAGGGGTCGGCCAGTTATGCCCCTTATGTGTAGTGGAAGCGTGTTGAACAGTCTCGGGCCTCTGATGTTGATAGTTCTCTCTTGAACACTGTGAGGGGTCGGCCAGTTATGCCCCTTATGTGTAGTGGAAGCGTGTTGAACAGTCTCGGGCCTCTGATGTTGATAGTTCTCTCTTGAACACTGTGAGGGGTCGGCCAGTTATGCCCCTTATGTGTAGTGGAAGCGTGTTGAACAGTCTCGGGCCTCTGATGTTGATAGTTCTCTCTTGAACACTGTGAGGGGTCGGCCAGTTATGCCCCTTATGTGTAGTGGAAGCGTGTTGAACAGTCTCGGGCCTCTGATGTTGATAGTTCTCTCTTGAACACTGTGAGGGGTCGGCCAGTTATGCCCCTTATGTGTAGTGGAAGCGTGTTGAACAGAGTGCCTCCTGGCAGTCTTTTTGCCGTTTCTTTTTCTTTGCTGGTTGCTTTCCATTTTGGCGCCGGTGATCATGTTCTTTTTGTCTTTGATGTTTGAGGACCACCATCTTATGACCATTACAATTCTGTCTTGGCAAAGCCTCTCTTACTTGAACGAATCCACAAGGGCCGTGACGAGGGTTTGAACCTACGTCCAAGAGGATCCCAGACGCTACCTCTCTTACTTGTTTTTGCAGTGGAGGCGCCTTCTATCCTCTTTTCTCAAGTGGTCCAGGGCATTCTTTCAACACCAGTCAGCCCCAGTTTCACTCGAGCTTTCTTGGTCTGATCAGGTACAGTACTTTCCGTTTTGGGAGGGGCTCTAACGGTGCTACCTGGATACATCCACCCAATTCATGCCAGGCCTTTACAAATCATTATAAGCCAACTGGAGACCAGGGGCCAGATTCACAAAGCAGTTACGCAAGCACTTACGAACCTGTACATCTTTTCTCAATCTTTGGCGGCTTTGTTTACAATTACAGTTAATGAGCTCCGAGGCACCAGGAGGCTGTTTATAACAATAACAACAGTTGATTGGGGAGTTTCCATGCTTATAAACTGTTTAATAAATGTAACCAAAGTCGTCAAAGATTGAGGAAAGATGTACACATTCGTAAGTACTTGTGTAACTGCTTCGTGAATCTGGCCCCAGAAACCCAAACTTGGCCGCCTCTAAAGAGATGCAGGGAGCTTGAGGATATGTGATCAGTCGGACTATAAGAGAAACACCAGAAAGGTGAGCATGACAATAGAGCAAGGAAAGGTAAACAAAATATAGAAAATGAGACACCGAGACAAACCACCCGAGGTGAAGCAATTCACTAGCTATTTAACCTGCATGCTGCCAGGTGCGGGGTCACCATCTGGTCACCACTTGGTCCGGGAGACATCTCCCGTCACGCAGGGTGCAGTCGCGCCTCCACAGATCTCCAGTATCAGCTCTTGATACTGGTAATGGCTCAAAAGGGCCACCACTTACGGGCTATTCATGCCCGTGCCACCTCTTGGGTGGCTTAATCTTCATCAATCAATCATCAGGTGCGGGGTACTCATACCTAGCTACTCGGCTCCATGACCCAGTCTGTCACCTGTAGCAAGTGCTATGCTCCTAATTCCTGCCACCCTCATTGAGGACAAGTTTTTCAGACAAGAGTTGGTCATTCTGGACACTGTTCTGTCCTGCCGGGAGGCATTTGCTTCGGTACTTTCCCATATTTCAGTGTATGTTTTACAATGCATGTTTTTATGCCACACTTAAAGTTTGACTGTAATTTAATTGTTCATCTCAAATTGCTTGTACCTAGAGTGGGCAAATCTAAGTGTTTGCTGGTTCATTGTCTCGACAGAATTATATTTTCTGGTGGATTCACGGGGGATGTCTCCGAGAGGCTGGCTTTCTGTTGAAAGGTGCCTTGCTCTTGGTTTTTTTTTTTTTTTTTTGAGATATATACAAGAGTTGTTACATTCTTGTACAGCCACTAGTACACGTAGCGTTTCGGGCAAGTCCTTAATCCTATGGTCCCTGGAATACGATCCCACGGTTGGTGGTGTATGGTGTTTGGTGGTGAATACGGTTGGTGGTGTACGGGTCATTGACTCGTCTGCAAGGCCTTGTGGATGAGGGCAGTCTGGGTTTTTGTTGCAGGGTCACACAGGATGTTGTGTAATTACCTAAGTGTAGTTACAGGATGAGAGGTACACTCATGGTGTCCCGTCTTCCCAGCACTCTTTGTCATACAACGCTTTGAAACTACTGACGGTTTTGGCCTCCACCACCTTCTCACCTAACTTGTTCCAACCGACTACCTCTCTTTTTTCGAAAGTGGTAGATTCTTATATTATATAGGAATCTTAAGATAAGAATAATTCTTATCTTATAAGCGGTTCCCTTATTTCTTTAGCAGCTTTGTTTAGTTAGTTTAAATCTATGACCTCTCGGAATATTTTTCTATCAATTTTGTCGATTCCTGTTACTATTTGGTATGTAGTGATCATATTGCCTCTAATTCTTCTACCTTCTAGTTTTGGCATATTCAATGCCTCTAACCTCTCCTTGTAGCTCCTGTCCTTCAGTTCCGGGAGCCATTTAGATGCTTGTGCTCATCTTAGAATGTGCTGCTCAAGCCCTTGGCAGCCCCCTATGTTCACAGGCTCTTATCAGGGACTGTAATCTGCAGTGTTTTCTGTTTGGTCAGCCCTGCATAACCCGGCAAACCCTTTACAGTTTTCAGAGGGCTTCTTATACCAGCCCCTCCAATTCTGTCCTCATGAGATATGAATTTGAGGTCGCCATTTATTTAATTATATATATACAAGAAGGTACATTGGGTTTGTGAGGATACATAGCATGGTGTTAACATTCTTGTAAAGCTACTAGTATGCGCAGCGTTTCGGGCAGAAACGCTGCGATTTCAAACACTATTGATTTCCCCTGTACTATATTCTGGTGGATGTCCACTTTCAACCTCTGCTCCACTGGTTGTAGTAGGTGGATCAATCCATCCACCCCTGGGATCTGCGATGTTCATCATCCTCATCACATTATTCATGTCACTGATTCAGCTCTGCCCTGGGGTCTCTGTCTTGGAAGATTCTTCCAAATTACTCCTCTTCTTCGTTCCTCCCTCCCTCTATGCCACAGGCCAAGCAGCCCATGGTGGCCCCTGGTTACGATAGCTCATGGTGGCCCCCAGCCAAGCAGGCCATGGTGGCCCCTGGTTACGATAGCTCATGGTGGCCCCCAGCCAAGCAGGCCATGGTGGCCCCCAGCCAAGCAGGCCATGGTGGCCCCTGGTTACGATAGCTCATGGTGGCCCCCAGCCAAGCAGGCCATGGTGGCCCCCAGCCAAGCAGGCCATGGTGGCCCCTGGTTACGATAGCTCATGGTGGCCCCCAACCAAGCAGGCCACTGTGGCCCCTGGCCAAGCAGGCCACAGTGGCCCCTGGCCAAGCAGGCCACGGTGGCCCCTGGCCAAGCAGGCCACGGTGGCCCCTGGCCAAGCAGGCCACAGTGGCCCCTGGCCAAGCAGGCCACAGTGGCCCCTGGCCAAGCAGGCCACGGTGGCCCCTGGCCAAGCAGGCCACAGTGGCCCCTGGCCAAGCAGGCCACAGTGGCCCCTGGCCAAGCAGGCCACGGTGGCCCCTGGCCAAGTAGGCTGCAGTGGCCTCTGGCCGGAGTAGCGCATATTTGATCTCTCTGGCATCCTTCTTGCTGGGGTAGTTCTCGTTAGCTCTGCTTTTGTCTTTTGTTTACCTTATTGATTGTATTATCTCACACACTTTCTGGAGGAGTGTTCTTGATGTGAGTGATATAGTGTCCTCACACTCTTTACATCTCTCTTACAGGAGGGTCAAGTGTTGACCTCTGACCCTTATAATAACTTATTTATAAATTAGTATAAGACTTATAATAACTTGCAAGAGGCCTGGTGTGGATGGAATGGGTGGAACTATCCAGGACCCGGATTCACGAAGCAGTTACGCGAGTACTTACGAACGTGTACATCTTTCCTCAATCTTTGACAGCTTTGGTTACATTTATTAAACAGTTTACAAGCATAAAAAGTTGCCAATCAACTGTTGTTATTGTTATAAACAGCCTCCTGGTGCTTTGGAGAAAATTAACTGTTTAATAATTGTAAACAAAGCCGTCAAAGATTGAGAAAAGATGTACAGGTTCGTAAGTGCTGGCGTAACTGCTTTGTGAATCGGACCCCTGGTTCGTTGCTGGCATCAAGAGAGCATTCAAGCATTTAGAATTATTTATGACAAATTAAATGAAGAAAACTGAGAACCGCAAGTATCACTCTACTCCTGCAGCTTTAAGCAAAAATATATATTATACTGTACAGTAAAATTGCAGATATTATACAGTAATCACAGATACAATGCTGAAATTAATACTTATACTGGCAATGCACCATAATAGCCAGTAGATACAGTATTATCTTGTACTGTAATCACAAATGGATACTGTACTGTAATTACGCATACAATAATCACAAACATATGTGTATTTAAACTAAAAACAGCTATTGCAATTAGAGAGATATTATCAAAAATACATCATTGCGCATTCACACACACTGTAAATTTTCAACACCCGAGTGTTGAAAATTATGAATTTTCTAACAAACTATGAATTTTCAATACATACCTCATGTGATAATCCTGATCTATCATGCGTGAAAATAAAGTCACCGCCTTCAAACTCATCATTCAGGTACAGCAAAGCACTGAAAAAAATAATTACGCGTATTATCTGAAAAGTACCGAGCATACATATCAAATCTTACACATTTTTGTTCGAGGATGTTAAGGTACACATATTGATCTAAATTGTGTCATATTATTTGGTAACCCTCTTAAGAAGATGGTGTTGATGGAGCATTTCAATTTTATTCAGACTACTAGTCGAGGTTATCTTGAGGTTATCTTGACGTTATCTTGACGTTATCTTGACGTTATCTTGAGGTTATCTTGAGATGATTTTGGGGCTTTTTAATGACCCTGCGGCCCGATCCTCGACCAGGCCTCCACCCCTAGGAAGCAGCCTGTGACAGCTGACTAACACCCAGGTACCTATTTTACTGCTAGGTAACAGGGGCATAGGGTGAAAGAAACTCTGCCCATTGTTTCTCGCCGGCGCCTGGGATCGAACCCAGGACCACAGGATCACAAGTCCAGCGTGCTGTCCACTCGGCCGACCGGCTCCCTTGATGCTAAGCACTTATTTTATGCTGCTAAACAGCGATGCACAAAATGTTTTGATTAAATATTATGATGTTAATTTTGATGATGCATGCAGCATATGCTGTTTGCTTTTATGAGAGACAAAAGAGGCAAAAATGCTCAAAATGATACAAAGTTTAAATATTAAGAAATACTGTGATAAGTGTCAAATTGCAATTTTCTTATTATATATAGAGATATCGATATCTATAGAGATATCGATATCTATAGAGATATCTTGTGGCCACTAGTGACTGTAAAGTGAAGGAATGTGAATAGCTGGGATTAAAAGCAATTGGATCCAATCTGGAATTAAGTAGCAGATCAAACCCTATAACTTAGCGAGCGCTATGTCATGGGTTCGTATCCTGGCCGGGGAGGATTTACTGGGCGCAATTCCTTAACTGTAGCCTCTGTTTAACGCAACAGTAAAATGTGTACTTGGATGAAAAAACGATTCTTCGCGGCCGGGGATCGTATTCCAGGGACCATAGGATTAAGGACTTGCCCGAAACGCTATGCGTACTAGTGGCTGTACAAGAATGTAACAACTCTTGTATATATCTCAAAAAAAAAAAAAACTTAAAAACACACACACACACACACACAATGTGGAATAGGAGAACATAGACCCCACACAACTTATATATTATGTGAGAAATCTTTAAAGAATTCTGATAAAGAAAGAGATCTAGGGGTGGTTCTAGATAGAAAACTATCACCTGAGGACCACATAAAGAATACTGTGCAAGGAGCCTATGCCACGCTTTCTAACTTCAGAATTGCTTTTAAATACATGGATGGCGATATACTAAAGAAATTGTTCATGACTTTTGTTAGGCCAAAGCTAGAATATGCAGCGGTTGTGTGGTGCCCATATCTTAAGAAGCACATCAACAAACTGGAAATGGTGCAAAGACATGCTACTAAGTAGCTCCCAGAACTGAAGGGCAAGAGCTACGAGGAGAGGTTAGAGGCATTAAATATGCCAAAACTAGAAGACAGAAGAAAAAGAGGTGATATGATCACTACATACAAAATAGCAACAGGAATTGATAAAATTGATAGGGAAGATTTCCTGAGACCTGGCACTTCAAGAACAAGAGGTCATAGATTTAAACTAGCTAAACACAGATGTCGAAGAAATATAAGAAAATTCACTTTCGCAAACAGAGTGGTAGACGGTTGGAACAAGTTAGGGGAGAAGGTGGTGGAGGCCAAGACCGTCAGTAATTTCAAAGCGTTATATTCCTTCTTTTCCTTCTCTAGGAAGGAAAAGGTTCTCTAAGTTCCTTCTCGACGCACAATCGAGAATTCCAGGGTTCGAATCCCAGACGGGACAGAAACAGTTGGGCACATTTCCTTTCATCTAGTGCCTCTGCTCACCTAGCAGTGAGTAGATACTCATGAGCTAGTCAGCTTTCTTGGGTAGGGTCAGTAATTCAACCTTGGAGGGGGGGGGGGGGGGGAACTCGATACAAGCATAACGTGTATGCATACACTCTGGCTTCCTGTCCCTCAACTCAATGATTTATTATTTATCTTCCATTTATCACTTGCTTTCTTTGTAGACTACTAAATTCTCACACGGAACATGTACAATGACTGCATTCTCGTTAACACACACAGACCGAAACGCTATGCGTATTAGAAATGCTATGTGTATTAGTGGTTTTAGGTATTGTATGTACTAGCTCTATCTATAAATCACACATTATGTTTGTATATCAACTATGTATGTACTTTTCCTGAATGAAGAATTTGAATTTGAGACGTAAAAATGCAGCTTAGAACAGACATCAAGGGCATCTTTCTAATCATTAGCAACTTCATAATACCCTAAAGCAAGCTCTATTGTCTACTGGACAAGGATCATAAAAGTCAGACAAGTGGTCTTGGCCCCCACATACCTTAAATTTGTCCTGACTACACCAAACTATGAGCAGAAGAGAAAAAACTGAAGATCATTGGAGGCAGCCAAATGTGAGGTTATCTTGAGATGATTTCGGGGCTTTAGTGTCCCCGCGGCCCGGTCCTCGACCAGGCCTCCATCCCCAGGAAGCAGCCCGTGACAGCTAACACCCAGGTACCTATTTTACTGCTAGGTAACAGGGGCTAAGGGTAAAAGAAACTCTGCCCATTGTTTCTCACCGGCGCCTGGGATCGAACCCAGGACCACAGGATCACAAGTCCAGCGTGCTGTCCGCTCGGCCGACCGGCTCCTCTTAACCAATCTTTGAAGAAGTTGAGATATGAGAGCTTGGCTACAGAGAGGCATTTACCTAATATACCTGAGGGCCATTAACCCTAGTGGCCTAAATGAGGACAGGAAGCTGGTGACTTGTCGAATGTCCTCCCCATCACGGCAAAAGATCATGCCTTGATGAGCTTTTCTAGGTAATATTAACCAGTCTCCGTGGTGCAGTGGTAAGACACTCGCCTGGCGTTCCGCGAGCGCTATGTCATGGGTTCGTATCTTGGCCGGGGAGGATTTACTGGGCGCAAATCCTTAACTGTAGCCTCTGTTTAACGCAACAGTAAAATGTGTACTTGGTTGTAACAACGATTCTTCGCGGCGGGGATCGTATTCCAGGGACCTGCCCGAAACGCTATGCGTACTAGTGGCTCTACAAGAATGTAACAACTCTTGTATATATCTCAAAAGGTATATTTTAAAACTTTACACAGTTTTGGCATTTACAGCTTCGGCAGGTAGGCGTTTCCATTTGTTTATAACCCTGTGGGTGAAAAAGCATCTCCTGTTTCCAGTCCTACATTGGTAATTTGTCACCATTGGTCTTACATTCGGGCTTTGCATTCCTATGGATGCTTAATTTCTTTCAAGCAGTAGCTCTTGCAACTATGCTCTTTGATAGGTTTTTCTAATGTTATAGTTAATCTCTGATCTTGGGTTTTCTTTACCTTATAAAGTGTGATCCAGATTCTGGTAATGGCTTGTGGTAACGGCCCTGACAACTGAGTGGACAGCGCTCCGAATTCATAGTTCTGAGGTACCGGGTTCGATTCCCGGCGGAGGCATAAACAAATGGGCAGAGTTTCTTTAACCCTGATGATCCTGTTCACCTTGCAGTAAATAGGTACCTGGGAGATAGACAAATGCTACGGGCTGCTGCTTTCTGGGAATGTGTAACAAAAAAGGAGGCCTGGTCGAGGACCGGGCCGCAGGGACACTAATCCCCGAAATCATCTCAAGATAACCTCAAGATAGATAGGTGACAGATGGGTCTCAGAGACCTGACGTGTTGGGCTAAGGCTTGGTAGCATCAGAGTTTAGCTTGGTGAGCCAATGAGGAGTCCCTCCCAGAAATGCACAACTAGTTTCCAGTTATATATGACCATACAACAATATTTTAAAATGATATTTATCAAGGTTTTGCCAAAATGCAGATGAGTTCTTACCTGTAATCCCTGTATGTGTAGGCTGGTGGAACTCTGAGGCACTCTCCAGAATCTTGTAATAGGCAGTTGTCAACATGGACTTCATGGCTGAGGTCAGATAATGACCTGTTTTCTGACATCTCTGACCAAACAATAACATGCTTAATACTAATTTGAACAATGAATACTTTGCAGCAACAAATGCATCAATTATTGATTCACAAACTATCTTTTTAACTGGCACAATTCATGAACAGGGTTTTGTATGGTTTCCATAAGTCTTGTGGGATCCATACAAAAACCTAAAATAATTTATTGAGCAGAAACCAATAAAAAAATACCTTACCTGGTTTAGCTGTGCGACATACTAAATGTGTAAAAGCAAAATATAATGGCTCTTTGAGATTGAAGTATCGTTCCAGGTAATCGCGACAGCGGTCTGTTACGTCAAGAATCAATTCCAAAGCTTCTTTAGCAATCAATTTAGCATGGACCATCTGTTGTAAAAGATCAATTATGTCAATGTCCAAAGCGTTATTTATATTTTATATTAAACATATTTATATTTTATGTACACTAAATGTACACTATGTACGTTAATCAAGTGGCACCTTGATAAACGAGTTTAATCCGTTCCAACACTGAGCTCGTCATGTGGAAAACTCGTCTTGGGAAACAACGACAAAACTGTCGTAAAAGATGTGCGAGAACCAGCGAAAACGCTCGTTAATCGAGGAAAAGCTCGTTAGTAGAGACAAATGTTCTGTGAGTGGCTCGCTCGTTACTCAAAATGCTCGTAGATAGAGCCGCTCGTTAATCGAGGTGCCACTGATACTATAAAATGTTTTGCCATTTTTGCTTAAGTTTAGGCTAGTCAAGTATAATTTGCACATATTTAGCAATGCAGAACTCTGTTGTATGTAACATACATAATAAGTCTTCTGTTCGGTCATATAATAATAATAATAAACCATTACATATATTTACCACTATGTTAATTAACTTTTAACATTCAGTGCAAACAATCACATGTAAAATTAAATCATTTTATGATCAACTTAAATAGTAATATACGTACCATGCCTGCTCGTCCCAATGTGACGCCTTGAAAATTCTCCGCTTGTGTATGTGGCGACGTACTCTGCTTGTAACCGTCTCCCTCCACTGCTGCCAACTGCGGTCAAGACAACAATACACTAGTTATGTAAACTCAAAACTTGACACTCATTAATCTCAATGCTAATGAATGTTAGTTTCTGATGCCTTGTTTTCCCAGGAGCTGGAGCCACACGACCATGCCACAAGCACATCAGCCGAAGAACTGGTGAGTGGGTCAACCGTAGAACTGGTGAGTGGATCAGCCGAAGAACTGGTGAGTGGGTCAACCGTAGAACTGGTGAGTGGATCAGCCGAAGAACTGGTGAGTGGGTCAACCGTAGAACTGGTGAGTGGATCAGCCGAAGAACTGGTGAGTGGATCAGCCGAAGAACTGGTGAGTGGATCAGCCGAAGAACTGGTGAGTGGGTCAACCGTAGAACTGGTGAGTGGATCAGCCGAAGAACTGGTGAGTGGATCAGCCGAAGAACTGGTGAGTGGGTCAACCGTAGAACTGGTGAGTGGATCAGCCGAAGAACTGGTGAATGGATCAGCCGAAGAACTGGTGAGTGGGTCAACCGTAGAACTGGTGAGTGGATCAGCCGAAGAACTGGTGAATGGATCAGCCGAAGAACTGGTGAGTGGGTCAACCGTAGAACTGGTGAGTGGATCAGCCAAAGAACTGGTGAGTGGATCAGCCTCCAGAAAGGTGGGCCACAGTAGCAAAGCCCTCAGGATGCCTTATCTAAAACTTGATCTACCTTCGCTATTGGGAGACTTATCCTGTACCAATTCTTAAAACTTTTCTTTTTAGTGAAGATGGTTATCTAGCCATCACCATCTCCAATACTTTGCTTATTTATTTATATATATCTATCTCTCTCTCTTCCTTAGAATCCTAAAAATCAGCTATTCCCCCCTCCAGACATCCACACCATCATAAAGTCTTTCTTATTGGTCAATTATATTTCCCCAAACCTCACATCACTAGCCACACTTAATACCCCTTGTGCAGCCCTTCTGACATGTGCAAAGTTAATATTAGGGGTCGAGTCATATTACACTTATAATAATGATATAATATTAATTATATTACAGACATGTGTAATTATATTATATAATTACACATGTTTGAAGGGCTTAATGAGCTGTATTAAAGGAGGAGATAGTAAGCTTTTACTTTTACCTTTTACTAAATAACTTTTTGTGTGATTTATAGTGCACTACAGTATTTAAGTACTGTTGTTTATTGAAGACAAATGCCTCAGTAATGGCTGATATGAAGAGAAAATGTTTTGGTGGTTCACTAAAATATTTTCTCTTTATTTCAGTTATTATTGAGGCATTTTTCTTCAATAAACAACTGAAATACTGTAGTGCATTATAACACTATCTTGTGTGAGGACTTAAGAGCTGGATTGTATTACAAATGCATAATTCATTGCATCTCGAGAGCTACAGTCAATTTTAACTGAATCAAATATAAATACAGTATGCAAATACTGAAGTATTCTTACCTTTGTTAGTTCAGTTAACACCAGGCATTGCAAAGGTGTTGCAAAACCATCTGCAACCATCCTCCCTCGGCCATGCAGTTCACGTTCCGACATTAGGAGATGAATCCCCATCTGAGACATTGTCTTGAACTGAGCCACAACGCGTTTGCGTGCGGCTCGAGCAGTTTCTGGTAACCGCTCCAACAGTCCTTTAGCTTCTTTGGTGTTTGGTAAGCCTGACGAATACTGAAAGAATGTGAGGCAGAAAGATGCAGTCCCAGGCACTGTCAGTAAAATCAAAGGGTATATGAAGAATATTCTTGAATAGCTTTCGTGTAGTTTCTGATAAAAAAGACAATTAATTTAATGATACGCTTCTTTTTAGAGGAGACCCAGTGGCTCCCTGAAGCTATCATGCTAAGATTGCTCCATACTAATAGGTCACATATGTCACACATGCTCTCTACAGAACCCAGGGGCCAGATTCACGAAGCAGTTACGCAAGTACAGTACTTACGAACGTGTACATCTGTCCTCAATCTTTGACGGCTTTGGTTACATTTATTAAATAGTTTACAAGCATGAAAACTTGCCAATCAACTGTTGTTATTGTTATAAACAGCCTCCTGGTGCTTTGGAGCTCATTAATTGTTAAATAATTGTAAACAAAGCCGCCAAAGATTGAGGAAAGATGTGCAGGTTCGTAAGTGCTTGCGTAACTGCTTCGTGAATCTGGCCCCAGAGCCAAAACCTGGCCCTCTTCCCCTCATCCACAGACGACCAGAGAATAGGTGACAATCCACCATCCTATCGGAAAAAGAATCCAAAAAGTAAGTGCAACTTTACGGAAATTGAAGTCTTAAAACCACTAAAAACTCCACAAATGATTCACACAGAACAAGGGATTCACCCAAACTAGAAAAACTATTTAGTACCCTATGAGCAGGAGTGGTTGAAAGCGGCCGATGTTAGTAAACAGTATGTAACATCAGTCGCTTTCAACCAATGGTGCCCAATGGGTACTAATTACTGCAACTAGCCGGCACAACCCAAGCACTCGGTTGACTCCCATTTCAGTTCTGGAGCAGAAAAACCCACGACAAATCAACAAACTTAGACGGAGCGGGAGAAATCAGGGAGCCACCAAAGCTCCTTCAGAAAGAGGCGTTTCATTACATTCAACGCTGGGTTTCTGTAGTTAGCTCCTGAAGCTAACCACTGAGGGGCCTGGCAGCTGAGCGGACAGCACTTTGGATTCATAGTCCTGAGGTTCCGGGTTCAATCCCCCAGTGGAGGCGGAAACAAATGGGCAGAGTTTTGAAAAATGAGAACAGTAATCAGAGGCAATGTATCAGACTGGAGAAATGTCACAAGTGGAGTACCACAGGGTTCAGTTCTTGCACCGGTAATGTTCATTGTCTATTTAACGATCTACAAGATGGAATACAGAATTATATGAACATGTTTGCTGATAATGCTAAGATAATATGGAAGATTAGAAATTTAGATGATTGTCATGCCCTTCAAGAAGACCTGGACAAAATAAGTATGTGGAGCACCACTTGGCAAATGGAATTTAATGTTAATAAATGCCATGTTATGGAATGTGGAATAGGAGAACATAGACCCCCACACAACCTATAAATTATGTGAGAAATATTTAAAGAATTCTGATAAAGAAAGAGATCTAGTAGGGATGGTTCTAGACAGAAAACTGTCTCCTGAGGACCACATTAAGAACATTGTGCGAGAAGCCTATGCTACACTTTGTAACCTCAGAATTGCATTTAAATACATGGATGGCGAAATACTAAAGAAATTGTTCATGGCTTTTGTTAGACCAAAGCTGGAATATGCAGCTGTTGTGTGGTGCCCATATCTTAAGAAGCACATCAACAAACTGGAAAAGATGCAAAGACAAGCCACTAAGTGGCTTCCAGAACTGAAGGGCAAGAGCTATGAGGAAAGGTAAGAGGCATTAAATATGCAAAAACTAGAAGATAGAAGAAAAAGAGGTGATATGATCACTACATACAAAATAGTAACAGAAATTGATAAAATTTATAGGGAAGAATTCCTGAGACCTGGAACTTCAAGAACAAGAGGTCATAGATTTAAACTAACGAAACAAAGCTGCCGGAGAAATATAAGAAAATTCACTTTTGTAAACAGAGTGGTAGATGGTTGGAACAAGTTAGGTGAGAAGGTGGTGGAGGCCAAGACCGTCAGTAATTTCAAAGTGATATATGACAGAGTCCTGGGAAGATGGGACACCACGAGCGTAGCTCTCATCCTGTAACTACACTTCGGTAATTACAGAGAACAAAAATGGGACCAACCAGGAAGGAGGAGAGGTGGAAGATACTAGGATGAAGAAGAGAATGCAGTCTAGAGGAGACAGCCCAAAGCAGGACCTCGTAGCCTGGTGGATAGCGCGCAGGACTCGTAATTCTGTGGCGCGGGTTCGATTCCCGCACGAGGCAGAAACAAATGGGCAAAGTTTCTTTCACCCTGAATGCCCCTGTTACCTAGCAGTAAATAGGTACCTGGGAGTTAGTCAGCTGTCACGGGCTGCTTCCTGGGGGTGGAGGCCTGGTCGAGGACCGGGCCGCGGGGACACTAAAGCCACGAAATCATCTCAAGATAACCTCTCAAGAAGAAGACACGACCAACTGGGTCCAGAAACACTAACAATACCTGGCCGCCAGAACCCCAAACTCTAATACCAGCCCAGGTAATGTTAGAGAAGATGGCAGCAGAAGTCACATGTTTGAAAACATCATAGACCTGAGGCTAGACCACAGGATGGCTATCCTCACTAACACTGTGGACTATGAGTCACAATAACGTGGCTGAAGTATGTTGACCAGACCACACACTAGAATTTGAAGGGACGACGACGTTTCGGTCCGTCCTGGACCATTCTCAAGTCGATTGTTGAGACAATCGACTTGAGAATGGTCCAGGACGGACCGAAACGTCGTCGTCCCTTCAAATTCTAGTGTGTGGTCTGGTCAACTGTGCACTACCTGAGAAATGCAAGCCTTGGAACCGGGAACCAATCAACCAATAAGGTTTCTGACACAAACCCTGTCATAGCTCAGTCGATTAAGGTAGTGTCTGGGATGCTCCCGGACGCAGGTTCGAATCCTCCTCACGGCCCTTGTGGATTTGTTCCTTTGTTAATAAGGTTTCTGCCGAGACAGTACCAATGGCATGCAGGTAATGGTGAAGATCTGCCAATAGACACAACAAATGATGCACCCAGTTTGACTGACAGATTACCAGTTGATTGACAGGTGAGAGGCGGGACCAGAGAGACAAAGCTCAACCCCCGCAAGCACAATTAAGCGAATAGGAGGAGAAGACCTGGTCGACGACCGGGCCGCGGGGACGCTAAGCCCCGGAAGCACCTCAAGGAAGGAGTACCCACGGGCCAAACCCCCAAAGGACTCCCACCAGAAGGGTTCAAATAAATAAAAGAGAACCCTTACCCCTGGAGACCTGAAGGTCCCAACCTTACTCCTGGAGGCCTGAAGGTCCCCAACCTTACCCCTGGAGCCCTGAAGGTCCCCAACCTTACTCCTGGAGACCTGAAGGTCCCTAACCTTACCCCTGGAGACTTGAAGGTCCCCAACCTTACTCCTGGAGACCTGAAGGTCCCCAACCTTACCCCTGGAGACTTGAAGGTCCCCAACCTTACTCCTGGAGACCTGAAGGTCCCCAACCTTACCCCTGGAGGCCTGAAGGTCCCCAACCTTACCCCTGGAGACCTGAAGGTCCCCAACCTTACCCCTGGAGACCTGAAGGTCCCCAACCTTACTCCTGGAGACCTGAAGGTCCCAACCTTACTCCTGGAGGCCTGAAGGTCCCCAACCTTACCCCTGGAGCCCTGAAGGTCCCCAACCTTACTCCTGGAGACCTGAAGGTCCCCAACCTTACTCCTGGAGACTTGAAGGTCCCCAACCTTACTCCTGGAGACCTGAAGGTCCCTAACCTTACCCCTGGAGACTTGAAGGTCCCCAACCTTACTCCTGGAGACCTGAAGGTCCCCAACCTTACCCCTGGAGGCCTGAAGGTCCCCAACCTTACCCCTGGAGACCTGAAGGTCCCCAACCTTACTCCTGGAGACCTGAAGGTCCCCAACCTTACTCCTGGAGACCTGAAGGTCCCCAACCTTACCCCTGGAGGCCTGAAGGTCCCCAACCTTACCCCTGGAGGTCCCCAACCTTACCCCTGGAGACCTGAAGGTCCCCAACCTTACTCCTGGAGACCTGAAGGTCCCCAACCTTACCCCTGGAGACCTGAAGGTCCCTAACCTTACTCCTGGAGACCTGAAGGTCACCAACCTTACCCCTGGAGACTTGAAGGTCCCCAACCTTACCCCTGGAGGCCTGAAGGTCCCCAACCTTACCCCTGGAGCCCTGAAGGTCACCAACCTTACCCCTGGAGACCTGAAGGTCCCCAACCTTACTCCTGGAGACCTGAAGGTCACCAACCTTACCCCTGGAGACTTGAAGGTCCCCAACCTTACTCCTGGAGGCCTGAAGGTCCCTAACCTTACCCCTGGAGACCTGAAGGTCCCTAACCTTACTCCTGGAGACCTGAAGGTCCCCAACCTTACTCCTGGAGACCTGAAGGTCCCCAACCTTACCCCTGGAGACTTGAAGGTCCCCAACCTTACCCCTGGAGCCCTGAAGGTCCCCAACCTTACTCCTGGAGCCCTGAAGGTCCCCAACCTTACCCCTGGAGACCTGAAGGTCCCCAACCTTACTCCTGGAGACCTGAAGGTCACCAACCTTACCCCTGGAGACCTGAAGGTCCCCAACCTTACCCCTGAAGGTCCCCAACCTTACCCCTGGAGCCCTGAAGGTCCCCAACCTTACCCCTGGAGACCTGAAGGTCACCAACCTTACCCCTGGAGACCTGAAGGTCCCCAACCTTACCCCTGAAGGTCCCCAACCTTACCCCTGGAGCCCTGAAGGTCCCCAACCTTACTCCTGGAGACCTGAAGGTCCCCAACCTTACCCCTGGAGACCTGAAGGTCCCCAACCTTACCCCTGGAGCCCTGAAGGTCACCAACCTTACTCCTGGAGACCTGAAGGTCCCCAACCTTACCCCTGTAGACCTGAAGGTCCCCAACCTTACTCCTGGAGACCTGAAGGTCCCCAACCTTACTCCTGGAGGCCTGAAGGTCCCCAACCTTACTCCTGGAGACCTGAAGGTCCCCAACCTTACCCCTGGAG